CTAGAATTAAGAACAAGGACCATTGAGATGATTCATTTGAAAAACATTCTTTTTCAAGAAATTTGAACCCCCATTTTTAAACCTCTGTCTTGGATTTGTCTTTGTTTGCTTGAGGACAAGCAAAAAGGCAAGTTTGGGAGAGTTGATAAACTCATAATTTAGCATATTTTACCACTCATTTAGGATAGATTTTGCATTCATATTGCATTCATATTTAGATTATTTGTAACTTTTGCTCCATTTTAGGTTTTAGACATGTTTGCATTAGCATTTGCATATTTCTTGCATATATGCATTGTTTTTAGGTAATATGGAGTACATGGAGCTGTGTTGGACGCTGAGCATGGACAAGGAGTCAAAAGAAGAGCTTGGAAGTTGCTGGGAGTCAAGAAAGAGTTCGGCCAAAAAGAATTAGGCAGAGATCGACCACCAGATCGACCATCCCACTCGTTTCAGGCAGAGATCGACCACCAGATCGACCATCCCACTCGTTTCAGCCTCAGATCGACCACTAGATCAACCAGGCCACTCGTTTCAGCTCAGATCGACCACTAGATCGACCAGGCGGGTCGATCTTCGGCCCAGATTTCTGCTTCCTTCCTTTGACAGCTCAGACTTTGTCTTTTAGTGAGGGGACCAGTTGTGTGGTCCTTTATGAACACTTTAAACCTAAAATTTTGGGGGATCCACGAATTTGACAGCCTCCATCCCCATTTTTGGGTTTTGTGGATCACCATTAAAACATCTTTTTCCATTTTCAAGCTTTATCTTTTGTAAAAACTTTGATTTTGAATTTAAGAACTTCCCTTTATGCTTTAATCCTTCTTTCTTGTTATTTCAATCATGTTTAACTCCTCTTATCTCATGATTAAGAGGGGTTCGAAAATGATATTAGAGTAGTTCTTTAGGATCTAAGGATGAGGTGATTAGGAAGGTTTTAAAGGTTAGATCTTGGTATTTTCTTGCTCTTAACTTTTCTTTCTTGGTTTGGAGTATCAAATGCTTAAAGACCTTGAGAGAGGCTTTATGATCCAAGAGATTTCCTTTTCTCATAAGAACTTAGGAGATCTCTTATGTCCAAACCAAGAGACTAGTATGCCTTAAAGACCACGGAAGTGGCAAGTAAGGACTAGTTAAGCCATGCTAAGATCCGTGCTTCAGCTCCATCAACCATCCTTTTCCACCACAAGCCATGGGTTTGGAGAGGATGAATGATGAGAGGAACTTATCTTACTCACAAGCCATGGGAAGATTGCATCTTAGGCTTAAGGATAGCTCATTTAGAAATGTGTAGATTTACTTCTTGCAAACCAAGATCGAACCTTGAGCTTCCCTAAGCATGAACCTTATCCTTTAATCTGTTATTTATTATTTAAGTAATATCAAAAGCTTTCTCCTTTAGATTTAAAGTTTGCTCCTTTCATTTTGCTAGAAATAGCCTTATTTGCCTATTTTCAGTTTTCGAATTTTCATAATCAGTAGTCTTGCAGTTTAAATTCCTAATTTTCTTCTAGTAGTTGCTAACCCTTAAGAGGGGATTTTAAAATTGTTTTATTGCTCATTTCATATTGCATTTAGTTTTTGTTGAATTTCTCCCTCATTTATCCGAATTTGACTTAGCTTTACTTTGCTCTTGTATTCCTAGTATTTTTCACACCTAGGCTGGATTGACACCTAAAGTACTACAGCAACACTAAGAGACTTTAGGATTGATATTTAGAACTGTGAAAAAAGCTCTCTATCACTCGCCCCTTTCTCACTCCTTTGGGAACTCAGATCATGGCTTGCGTCTCTCACACTTGTTCCTACACACTCACAAAACAAAAACATAAAACTGGAAAAGAAATAAAGCAAAGATATGTACAGGATAGACATGGGAATGCCTCCCAAGTGCGCTTTCTTTAACGTCTTTAGCTAGACTTTACTTGGTTTAGGCAGATGGTGGGTCTTGGAGAAGCATTGAGGTGCTCTCCTTGTCAAATGCACTCGCCATGTATGGCTTAACTCTGTGTCCGTTCACTGTGAATGCATCCCCACTCTTGACGACCAACGTGACAGCTCCGTAAGGTAGAACTTCCTTGATTTCATACGGACCGCTCCACCGTGACTTTAGTTTCCCTGGAAAAAGCTTGAGCCTCGAGTTGTAAAGCAGCACCAAACTCCCTTCCTTAAGCTCTTTAGGCACCAGTTTCTTGTCGTGAGCAGCCTTGGTACGTTCCTTGTAGATCCGAGAGCTTTCGTAAGCATCCAGCCTTAGCTCATCAAGCTCGTGCAACTGGATCAACCGCTTCTCCTGAGCCGTCTTCAGATCAAAATTCAACCACTTCACAGCCCACAACGCCTTATGTTCCAACTCGACAGGAAGGTGACACCTTTTACCATAGAGAAGAGTGAAAGGAGTGGTACCAATAGGCGTCTTGAAGGCGGTCTGATATGCCCACAAAGCGTCATCTAACTTCACAGCCCAGTCCTTCCGAGTGATCCCAACTGTTCTCTCGAGTATCGCCTTTATCTGACGGTTAGAGACCTCCACTTGGCCACTCGTTTGAGGGTGGTAAGGCGTAGCTACCTTATGCTTCACGCCATACTTCTTTAGCAGATTTTCAAACAGCTTGTTGATGAAATGGCTCCCTCCGTCGCTTATCACCACCTTGGGAACTCTAAACCTTGGAAAAATAATGCTCTTAAAGAGCTTGATCACCACCTTAGAGTCGTTTGTTGGGGAAGCAATGGCCTCAACCCATTTAGAGACGTAGTCTACAGCTACGAGTATGAACGTGTTGCCGTATAATGAAGGAAACGGCCTCATAAAGTCTATGCTCCATGCGTCAAAGACATCTACCTCGAATATGGGAACTTGAGGCATCTCATTCCTCTTAGTGATATTCCCTGCTCTTTGACACGCCTCACAGCTCTTCACAAACTCGTGTGCATCCTTGAAGATAGACGGCCACCAGAAACCAGCTTGCAACACTTTCGTAGCAGTCTTGAACGAAGCAAAGTGTCCTCCGTAGGAAGAGCCATGGCAGTGAAAGAGAATGTCCTTGGATTTATCTTTTGTAACACACATCCGGTATAAACTGTCAACGCCTCTCTTGTACAAGTAGGGGTCATCCCAATAGTAGTGGTTCACGTCTCTCATGAACTTCTTCCTATGGTAGCTGTCAAGATGCGACGGCTCCTCTCCACATGCCAAGTAGTTCACAATATCTGCGTACCAAGGGAGATCCTCCTCTTCGAAGCTCAGAACTACCTTAAACTGCCCCTCTAAGCTCCCACAAACAGCCGTAGTGATTGCCATGAGTTTTTCCTCGGGAAGAGAATCGTCTAAAGGAAGAGCCTCATTGATCCTTAACCGAGAGAGATGGTCAGCAACGCCGTTCTCTATCCCTTTCTTGTCTTTGATCTCCATGTTAAATTCCTGGAGTAAGAGGATCCATCTCAAAAGCCTCGGCTTAGTGTTTTTCTTTGAATAGATGTAGCGCAAAGCTGCGTGATCCGTGTAAACAATGGTCTTGGAACCCACGAGGTAAGCCCTGAACTTCTCAAAGGCGAAGACTACTGCCAATAGCTCCTTCTCCGTAGTTGTATACCTCGTTTGCGTGTCGTCCAAGGTTCTTGAAGCATAGTATATCACATGCAGCTTCTTATCCTTCCTTTGGCCTAGAACAGCTCCCACGGCGTAGTCACTAGGATCGCATATAATCTCGAAAGGTAGAGTCCAGTCTAGTGCTTGCACTATAGGCGCGGATACTAGGGCCTCCTTAATGGTCACGAAAGCCTTCAAACACTCCTCATCAAAGGCGAATTCAGCCTCCTTGCACAATAGCCGTGTGAGAGGGCGTGCAATCTTAGAAAAATCTTTGATGAAGCGCCTGTAGAAGCCGGCGTGTCCCAAGAAACTTCTCACTCCTTTTACGTTAACTGGCGGCTCAAGGCTTGTCATCACATCAATCTTTGCTTTGTCGACTTCAATACCCTTCTCTGATATCTTATGTCCAAGCACGATCCCCTCCTTAACCATGAAGTGGCATTTTTCCCAGTTACGCACCAAATTTGTCTCCTCACAACGCTTTAATACCCTGCAAAGATTCAACAAACACGCAGAAAAGGACGCACCATAGACCGAGAAGTCATCCATAAACACCTCTACCATCTCTTCTATTAGATCAGAGAAGATCGACATCATACACCGCTGAAACGTAGCCGGTGCGTTACACAATCCGAATGGCATCCTTCGATACGCGAAGGTGCCATAAGGGCATGTCAAATTCGTCTTCTCCTGATCATTTGGATGGATTGGTATTTGGAAAAATCCACTATATCCATCAAGAAAGCAATTGTAGGGGTGATTAGCCAGTCTTTCAAGCATTTGATCAATAAAAGGTAAGGGAAAATGATCCTTTCTAGTAGCAAGATTAAGCTTCCTATAATCAATACACATACGATGTCCAGTAATAGTCCTAGTAGGTATAAGCTCATCTTTGTCATTCTTAATGACCGTGATCCCTCCCTTCTTAGGCACCACGTGTTCGGGAGAAACCCACGTGCTGTCACTTATGGGATAGATCACGTCAGCCTCTAAAAGCTTAAGAATCTCTTTCTTGACAACCTCTTTCAAATTAGGATTCAAACGCCTCTGAAGTTCTACAGAGGATGCGTTCTCATTATCCAAATGAATCTTGTGAGTGCAAAGCATAGGAGAAAGGCCCTTAATGTCACTTAGGGAGTACCCAAGAGCCTTTCTGTACTTTCTCAACTCAGTTAAAAGTGAGTGTAACTCATCATCATTTAAGTTTTCGGGCTGACGGTGGTTATAAGGATGACAGCATGTTGGACATCACTTTTGTTCCATCTCTCTCTGAATGAGGCGGCAATATCTCCCCACAGGTAAATGCGGATGGTTTCCCCACTGTCAAAGAAAGCGAAAGTAGAGACAGTTAGTAAGCAACAAATTTTTTTATGATGCGTTCTCTTTTAAAGTAAATAAATAGGTAGTTTTACTCTCTCATAAGCAGGTGCAAGAATACTCTGTCTTTAGATCGGTTGCCTAGAACTTCAGGTGCAGTGGCGTTGGCTGTCACGAAATGAAGGTTGTCGCCGCTTATGAGGCGTAGCTTTCCAATGACGTCTAAAAAAAACATAACCGGAAATTAGTTATGGCATAGTTTTTTTAAGTTAAGCAATGCCACAAATGATTTATGAAAGGAATTTTCATACCAAAGAGATCGGTTCCATGTCGGCAATGGCAGAGAAATCATTGAATGTGCGGAGTCGGAATTTCTGGTAGTCTATTTCCTGCTCTCCCTCAGGTGCTTCGACCATTGTCGTGTGGTTGGTTGAAACAAATGGCTTTTGTATGGTCGGAGACTTTGTAAAGCGTTTTGCAGGGTTTGATCATGAATTTTTTTAACTTGTAAACTTAGCTTGACTTGAGCTTGTCTTCATACCTGTAAAGTCGGTTTGCAGAAATGAAAGCTTGCACTGCATTAGACTGTGGGATTGAAAATTAAAAGAGGTTTAATAGCAGGAAGAGTAGTATGGCGAGAGAGAAATGAGATGGAGAGAGATTGGATGGGAAGCTGTGATTGTTAAATAGCAAAACAGGATCATACTAAATCTATAAATATGTGTGAATCGTTTTGTTTTGAGTAATACAAAATGTCAGTGGTCTATTATTTCTTAAAATACTAGAAGGAAGAACAATCAGCAAAATGCATTTACGCTAGCTAACATGAATATATTTTACCCTAATAATAGAAGAAGATGAATTAGTGTACCTCTGAGTCGAGAAAAAGTAGTTCAACACCCATCAGGATGTTGCCTTTTTAAAAATTTCTGGCTTCCCAAAAGTGAATCAGGCGAGCTAGCACTTCATCGTTGCAGAAGTCACCTTGATTATTCTTAAGAGTCTGGAAATTGAGTGGCTAAGCAGAAGGATGGAGAGATCTGGAAGCCATGATTGAAAATGGTAATTTGATTGCTACCGTTTTGGAGGTGTTGGTGTAGATGGAGGGTTGTATGGAGGTTGATTTTATAAGCTTGTGTGAGGGAGAGGGTAAATATGAGAGGAGTGGCCATTAAAACCATTGAATCAATGGAATAGAGTGGCCAATGAAGATGATGAAGTGGGGAGAGAAATCGATTATCCGGTAATTTTGTTTTCTTGAATCTGAAAAGTTTTGAGGAGGAAGATAGTATTAGAGAGAAGACGGAAGCTGAAGAGATTAGAGGAGGAAGATGGAATTCTAGACGCAGAACAGACAATGTTAAGTTCTTTACTGGGCCTTTGATTGGTGGATTCTTGGGCCTCACTTTGGGTTTTAAGCAAGTATTTGTTACTAAGTTTTTTTTTTGGATTTAAAGTAACTACTTTTTTATGGGCTGGACGTATTGTATATTTTTAACTGATTATTAACTTATTTTTGGTTTTTTCGTAGGTTTTTTTTAGAAAATTATGCCAAGTGGCATTGTGGGAGAGAATTGTTTTAACTGACGTGGACACACTCTGGAACCCCAAATAGTCTCTTTTATTTAGTATAGATATATGATTCTTGAAGTAAATTTTATAAAAATTTTAAATTATGAGGTATAAAGGGATTTATTATATATTATGTTATAAATTATGAGGTAAAAAATTAAGTTATATTAATAATAGTTTATGTGTTATAAAGATTAAAATTAAATTTTGTAAATACAAAAATTAAAAATTAAAAATAAGATAATATGACTTACTGCAACTCATTCAATATTGTAAACACATGAATTGTTATTGTAAATCATCATCATCAACCAAAGCCAAACCGCCGCTTCTTATAGCCATAGATCTTTCAACCGTCCGTAAGCAGTCCCCGCGATAGAACACTTGATAAACTCCATGGAGTTGCAGGTCAAGGTTCCGGTTTTATCAGATAGAATCGTGCCGACCATCCCAAGCTCTTCGTTGAGATTAGGCGTTCTTGCGTGCGCGGGTTTATCTGTTTCCTCGTAGTACATGTTAATGTCGTTGTTGATGAAAATGCTCTGAATAAATTTCACGATTTCGATAGAGACATAAAGCGAGATAGGGATGAAGTAACTGTAGAGCATGACCGCTGTGAAGAAATGGTAAATGGCAGCCATTTGAGCTCTTTCTGGATCAAAGAAGATCTCTGCATCTTTTGGTTTTAAGTACCATCGTCCGTTTCTCTCTATATCCTCTCATGTCTCGGTACCGAAGACGATGGAGCCAATGAACGACATCAGAAACACAACACCGAACATCATGTAGATGATTTTCTCCATTTTTCTCTCGATTCTACTTCTCTTCGACGGTCGGTTGAATTTAGAATCACATGTTTCAAATTTTGTCAAAATGAATTCAACACTTTTGAGATAATTTATTTTTAAAAGTGAGAAACAGATGTTAAAGATTGTACCTTTGTATTATTTCACTTTCTTCCAACTCAAGTTCGCCAACCGATTCAACAGCATCAACTAAATCTGTAAGTATTATTTCAGAAGAAAAACATCTATAAAATGGAATTGTCGATCTAAAATTATAATGAGTAATATTGAGGAAGACTCACCAACAGGACAATTTCGTTTAAAGTTGCCAAGATAGAGATTCTCGTAACTAAGAATCTGCATATGTGGATAGTCTCCATTGTAGAAATCTCCAGTTGTGAAATCTTCCAAGATTCAAGTGTTAGATTGAAACTCAATCTTCAAACAATTCTTTGTCATTTGTCTCGCCGATCTCGCGGATACTACATTGAAATTTCGTATTCTTTTTCATGTCCCCCCCCCCCCCCCCCCCCCCCTCATGGAGCCTCTTTATAAAAAAAAGGAATCATTTTTTCACTCCCTACTGTTGCTTGAATTTTCGAACCCTATAACATATACACTTTTTTTTACAAATAAAAAACCCAAATTGAAATAAACAAAAGCAAGCGAAAATCTAGCAAGAAGAATTACCTAGTCATCAAGGAGAATGAAATAAAGAACGTCGCCACCATCTGGTATTAATTGAACCCATCTTTTATAAACTATTACTCTTATAGTCCAATCAGTTCTTGAAGAACCCAACTCACTAATACTAGAGACACCGGCCATTATAAGATTTCAGAAAACTGTCAAAATTTGATTAAAGATATTTTTTTTCTCTGTATATATCGAAAATATTTTAGTCTGTTATGCTACGAACTGACTGCGCCGATTGCTTCTTTATAGTAGAGTCTCGAAAATAAGTCGGATATCGAAAAGTTACATTGTCAAAATTCGAATCATTGTGCATGTATAGAATAAATGAAAAGAATCAAACGATTCAGAGTTTTTGTTATTCGTGACAGTTCGCATTCTTTAAGACAGATTTTAGCCATTAAAATTCAGAAATTAGAATAGTAACGATTCATAATGATTTTTAGAACTTGAAAATTCTTTGTCACCAGGCCTACCGAAGGGCTTTTTTTTTATTATTGGGCTGATGTAGTTGTTACGAATTTTAGTTGGTCCAAACCGTAACCACTATGTTGCTTATTTCCAACTCAATCAAGTAAAAATTAATAAATAAGCTACTAACATGTTTCATGCGTTAAAAACTTTTAACTTATGAATGGTTTCAATCTCCTAGTTTGTAGTTCTCTAATGCTTTGCTCATACTTTGAAAGTAAGTTCTTACTATGCTTGGATCACTAGTTTTGATTTTCGTGACTTGAATTGAACTCTCATGATTTGAAACTTGTCATATTAAGTGAAAACCTTAACTTGAAATTTTAATTATCATCCTCATGCATTTGAAAATGAACACATGGATTTTAAAATATTTAGGCTCTCTTCTTCCTTTTACCACTCTTTGTGAGCCTAAGTAGAACTCCCACCTTGACCCTTACCTTTCTTTGAAGCCAAGTTTTCGTGTGTGACATCATTGTGAGGCCTCTTCCGGTTTGAACTTAGCATAAAGTGTTAGGTTTAGGCGACATGATTAGGTTCTCATATGTTTGCTAGCTTTGGATTTTGAAGCTAGATGTAGGTTTATGATAAGTTTGGGGGATCTTTGGGGTTGCTCTCTTGTTTATATGCTTTCGGTTTCAAAAGAGTTTGGTTTTTGAAGTAAGAAACAGGTTTTAAGTGAAAGGTTTTGTGTTTAAAAGTATATTGCTCCAATAATTTCAGAAGATGGCTCTCTCAAAAAATAAAATAAAAAATATATAAATAGAAATATAAATATATATATATATATATATATATATATATAAGAGCCTAAGTGCCAAAATAAAAAGAAAAAAAAGAGAAAGAAAAAAAATAAGAGAACCATCAATAAGAAAAAAAATAAGGAGCTTAATATTTTTAAAACCTTTTCACTAACCTAAAAGAGTTAAGATGTTTCATGTTTTGATTTGGGGATTGCTAAGCTTTTGCTTTGGGAAAAAGGGGTAGATTCTAAGTGGTGAGTGAGCTTAAAAGAAAATAAATGAGAGGGGTTTTTAGGTTCATTGTTAGTTTACATGGGTAGATGAGAATCTGATCATGTATGTATTAATTGCCTTTACCTTTAGCATTATGCATAAGGTTCTTACCATTTTCGAGAGAAACCCTTTGCTTAAAACAAACCCTCTTTAAAAATGAGATCATTCTATGCTCATAGCCTTTACCCTTAGCCAAATGTGTTCTGCTTTAAAGTGCATAAGTTTGATTCATGGTTTGGTTGTTAATGAATGTTAAATGATGAGTTTCTTTGATTGTTAGGAATAGGAGAGTAACGATCTGAAATTCTTTGTGTGATGAGTATGGCTAAGTTCTTTGGAGTATGAGTGTGTGTATTGCATTTTAGAACTAGTAACTAGGACGTTGAGATTGATTCATTTGAAAGACATCTTTGCAAGAAGCTTAAACCCCCGTTTGTTTTAAAACCTCTCTTCCTTCTTTAATTTTGTTTGCTTGAGGGCAAGCAAAAGGTAAGTTTGGGGGAGTTGATATAGCTGCATATTCCATGCATTTTACATACATATAAGTTAGTTTCTCACGCTTATGCATTGCATTTTAGGATAGTTTGCTTCACTTTAGGTCCTAGAGTGTTCTCGCATCAGCATATGCATATTTCTTGCATTTTGTATCGCATACAGGTTTTTTTCGGCTACTTTGGAGTCTTGGAGGGTTCGTAGACATACTGAGGCTCGTAAGGAAGTTCATGAGACTTGAAGAATTTGGGAATGCTTGCTAAGGACCGGAGATCGAGAGGAGGTTCGAGCATGGCCGGTCGATCTAGATGAGCTCGACCAGAAGATCGAGTAGCCCAGCCGATCCAAGGGAATTGATCGAGACGGAGATCGAGTGAAGCAATCGATCAAGGAGTACAGACGTAAATGACGCCATGCAGAGCGAGAGCTGGATCGAGTCCACCACTCGATCCGCCGAAGATCGATACCAAGATCGGATGCAACACTCGATCCATCGAAGAAGATCAAGACACAGATCGACCTGAAGACACGATGTCCGAAAGTGATCGAGAGAGCTTCTCGATCCCGAAGTCGATCTCTGTCCTTTCAACCGTTTTTGGCCGCTAGCGAGGGGGGGACCATCGAGCTGTTTGGCCTACTTTGGGAAGGCGGTGATCACCTTTTCATACACGCTTTCACTTTTACTTTTTATCGTCTTTCTCTCTTGTTTTGAAGGCGATTCCGCTATTGTTAGACTTGGAGTTTGTTCTTGGATATTTTGAATCGTTTAAGCTTAATCTATCGTTTTTCATGTTTATCGTTTCGTCTTTCATGCTTTGCTTGGTTTACTTAATGTGTAGTGAGTAGTTTAATCGGCTTTTGGGGTTGAGAGGATT